GGTGCCTCACACATCATGAAAGTCTATTATTTAGTCATGTTTAAACTGCCTCACATTTAATTGCTGTATAAATAGATAAGGTGCAATTTCTACAACCTTACACAATGTCAGGTCTGCTCGGCGCGGCCTGCCTCTCTTCCTCCCTTCTGTCTCTCGACCTGCGGGATCGGCACCTCAGCTGTGTTGCATTCGGTAATTAGTGACTCGTTTGTCAGTGCGCACAGCTGGGGTGCATTCCTGTGATTTCCTGCTCCTTTATTTAAACCTCTGGCAGATGCTCCATCTTCGCTGGAGCATTACCTGTAGACACACCTGCATTCATGGTATGTTTCGTAGCCTTAACATTTCTATTTAAATAAGTATAAAAACTGTCACTGTTAATAAATCTATATATATTGTTATACTAACTCTCTTTGTGCTACATGAAAAACTGACAGTATGCATTACGTACAAGCGAAAAAGCACTTTGGAGTAGACTTGTTAAAGAAACAAAGAAATGAACTTTTCAAAGACACTAAAGCTCTTCTTAAAAATATTAACATTTAACAAAGGTCAAAAGTGAATGTCAAAAACAGTATTTACTACTAGCAGCCACCGTTATTTACCTCCAACAGATGGTGGTGTTCTCTTTTTGTGAGGCCACCATTAAACCACTATTTTTTTACTAGCACCTGGGTCTGCACTCTTGAGTCCTACCTCAGTTCTCCCTCACCCTCCTGCTGAGGGGGACTAAATCATAACAGAATGTTCCGGCCAACAATGGACTCAGCCAGCTCAGGTGCTAGCTTTCCCTCATCTTCATTCACCAACCATAGTCTGAATCCGCCCCGGTCACAGAGCACTGCAACCTACCTTAGCCCAGCAGACGCCCGGGACATATATCGGCAGCTAAAGGCACAAATGTTTTCCTCCTTTTTTTTTCTCCCTGAGGCAGCTCCCAACACCTCACCTCCTCAGACTGTTTTTCCCTCCATGTGGCTGGGCGCCTTTTTTCTGTTTCCAGTCCCCGTGCTCGGTAGTCTAAGCCACTGCTGCAGCTCCAC